GAGAGAGCGCCAGAACTAGACGCCACAACCAAACGTACTGTCGAAAACGCAGGGAACGAGTTAGGATGTGTACACGATGCGCGCTGCACGAGCGCATGCCACACGACGTGCATCGACCCCGCCATGGGTCCAACTGGCCAGGCCCTCTTTGGGGGGCCTCCTGGGCGCTCCCTTCCTCGTCGCCACGGCTGGCTTCCCGGCGAGGTCACTGCCAGAGCGAAGCACTGACACGCTCGAGCGGGGAGGGACTCCTCCTCCTCCTCCTCCTCCTCCTCCTCCTCCTCCTCCTCCTCTTCCTCCTCCTCCTCCTCCTCCTCCTCCTCCTCCTACTCCCCCTGGGGCCCAAGACCCAGACGCCCCTCGTCAAGAAAAAACTCGAGACGTCCGGTCCCTGCCTCAGTCTTGGCCCCCGGGGGCCTGGCTCGGGGCCCAGCACCGTCGAGGAGCTGCCGGAGACGAAAAGACAGTCCTGAGAAAGGTGCCGAAAGCTTGGGGGCGCACGCCACAACCAACAACAAAAAAAGCACGTCGAAGGTACAGGTACAGTGTTCAAAGACGTCGCCAGTTCGAGGGTAATGTGGGTCAGCTGAATTCGAGTGTCGCGCTGCGCGACAACGTGTGTCGCCTAAAATCGTGCTTCGCCCGCGCTAACGCGGGTCACCTAACTTCGTGCTTCGCGCCACGCAGTACACTGGAAAAAAAAGGTCACCGTAACGTCCATCAAGAAATTGACCGCAGGCCAAGGGCCACAAGGAGATCCCCCCCCCAAAGAAAAACTTTCAGAAATGGAGAGCGCAAAGAACCGACCTTCGGGCGATTGCCTCAATCGTTGCCGATGCCAACGCATCTCTACCGAACCCTATCCCAAGGTGAGAGAGGGCCCATGACTAACAGAGTCTGCCAACTCTTGGCACAACACAGCTGAACTGAAGCCTGCGACCGTTCTTCCACGAAGTCCCTCCGCATCCTTCATTACCCAGCCCCCGAAACCAGAGAAGCCAACTAGACGCCGACCTGCAGGTTGGGCCTCCCTTACACCAGACCAGGCTGGTGTAAGGACAAACCAGTAGATGCCAATCAGCTTGTGCTACTGACAGTGGGTGCCAACCGCTGCACTGAACTAGGGGTGGAACGAGAGAGAACGGGAGAGTTCGGTGGCAGCTCATGGGAGCCTCCATGCCATCTTGCTAGCTATTGCGAATCGACGCTGGCCATCGCTCATCGACGCTGATCGACGCTAAATCAACGCTGATCCACGCTAAATCTGCGATTTCTCATCTATTACCAGACTCTAGCGCACGCCAATGCACTCCAATGACGGAATTGCGAGGACATACAGGGCTCCCATGATTTGCTACCGAAGGAGAGGCGGAACGACATCGAGTGTGGCGCTGTCAAGAAGGCGTTCGCCATGTCGTGTGAGGGCAGAGTGGCGAGCTTGGTTGTGTCGCCCAGGTCAGCGCTCAGGGAGAAGCTCCAGGAGGTGGTGTGTGAGCACCTGTGCAGACAGGATGCGCTTGAGAAGGGCGCACTAGTTGGGCCGAGGCGAGGCTCTGTCGATCGAATGACTGACTGCTAAGCGCGCTGTTGTCACGTTCCTCACCAGCGTGAGGAGGACATCGTGGCACGACTTCATCCAAGTGAGAGCACTATGGCATTCGCGGCGGTATCGGGCGTTACGTGAGGGGAGGGGGGGCAGGGGGGGACATGACGTAACGCCCGCGCCCCCCGCCGTGACAGACTGGTGTCGGCCGCTCTGCGGCAGTGCGTGCTGGGGACGCACTGGGCGGGGAAGAGCGTTGCGCTATAGGGGGAGGGGGGGGGAGGGGAGGGAACATAACGTGCGTTATAGGCCAGAGGGTAAGACCCAAACATATGCAATTGTGAAAACAGCGTTGTGGGTCCGGACCGCTTTCGGTGGAGCTCCCTCCTATGGCCGCGACATGTGGGCGCGGTGGTGCCAGGCGAGCGCTGCCCTGGGGCACTCGGTGGAGCTCCCCATTGGGCCACGAAACGTGTGAGGTGTGTGCCAGAATGGGTGCGGTGGTCCCATGCGGGCGCTGCCACTGGGGCCCTCGGTGGAGCTCCTAAATGAGCCGCGAAACGTGTGAGGTGTGCCGAATTGGGAGCAGTGGTGTCATGCGGGCGATGCCTTCGGTGAGAACCTGTGAGGGCGTGGCGCCATGCGGGCGCAGCCACTGGGGCCCTTGGTGGAGCTCCCTACGGGGCCACGAAACGTGTAAGGGGTGTGCCTAAATGGGTGCGGTGGTCCCATGCGGGCGCTGCCACTGGGGCCCTCGGTGGAGCTCCTAAATGAGCCGCGAAACGTGTGAGGTGTGCCGAATTGGGAGCAGTGGTGTCATGCGGGCGATGCCTTCGGTGAGAACCTGTGAGGGCGTGGCGCCATGCGGGCGCAGCCACTGGGGCCCTTGGTGGAGCTCCCTACGGGGCCACGAAACGTGTAAGGGGTGTGCCTAAATGGGTGCGGTGGTCCCATGCGGGCGCTGCCACTGGGGCCCTCGGTGGAGCTCCCCATGGGGCCACGAAACGAGTGGGGCGTGCGCCGAAACTGGTGCGGTGGTGCCATGCGAGCGCGCAGCCACTAGGTCCCTCGATGGGGCTCCCTAGGTGGCCAGGAAACGTGTGAAGGATGTGCCAGCATGGGCACGGTGGTGCCATGCGAGCGCAGCCAGTGGGGCCCTCGGTGGAGCTCCCTGCGGGGCCAAGAAATATGCGAGGGTGTGCCAGAATGGACGCGGCGGTGCCATGCGAGCGCAGCCAATGGGGCCGTCGGTGGAGTGTGCCGAAGTGCGCGCGGTGGCGCCATGCGAGCTCAGTCACTGGGGTCCTCGGTGAAGGGGCCACGAAAAGTATGAGGGGTATGCCGAACGAGGCGCGGTGGTGCCATGCGAGCGCAGCCACTGAGACGTTCGGTGGAGTGCCCTATGGGATCACGAAACGTGTGAGGGGTGTGCCAGAACGGGTGCGGCGGTACCATGCGAGCGCAGCCACTGCGGCCTTCGGTGGAGCTCCCCATGGGATCACGAAACATGTGAGTGGTGTGCTGACATGGGCGCGGTAGTGCCATGCCAGCGCAGCCTCTATGGCCTTCGATGGAGCTCTCTCCTATGGTGCCACGAAGCGTGTGAGAGGTGCTGATTTGGGTGCGGTGGTGCCATGCGAGCGCTGCCACTGGGGCCATCGGTGGAGCACATGGGGCCACGAAACGTGTGAGGGGTGTGCCAGAACGGGTGCGGTGGTGCCGTGCGAGCGCAGCCAGTGGGGCCCTCGGTGGAGCTCCCTGTGGCCACGAAACGTGTGAGAGGAGGTGTGCCGAAACGCGCGCGGTGGCGCCATGCGGGCGCTGCCGCTGGGGCCATCGGTGGAGTTCCCTACGGGGCCACGAAACGAGTGAGGGGTGTGTCGCAACGGTGCGGTGGTGCCATGCGAGCGCAGCCACTGAGGCCTTCGGTGAAGCTCCCTATGGGATCACGAAACGTGTGAGGGGTGTGCTGAATGAGCGCGGTGCTGCCAGGCGAGCGCAACCCTTATGGCCTTCGGTGGAGCTCTCTCCTATGGTGCCACGAAACGTGTGAGGAGTGTGCCGACATGGGCGCGGTGGTGCCATGAGAGCCCAGCCCCTATGGCCTTCGGTGGAGCTCCCTCCGATAATGCCACGAAACGTGTGAGGGGTGTGCCGCAACGGGTGCGGTGGCGCCATGCGGGCGCTGCCGCTGGGGCCATCGGTGGAGCTCCCTACGGGGCCACGAAACGTGTGAGAGGTGTGCCGAAATGGGCGATTGCAGCCACTGGGGCCCTCGGCGGAGCTCCCCATGGGGCCACGAAACGAGTGGGGTGCGCCGAAACTGGTGCGATGGTGCCATGCGAGCGCAGTCACTGGGTCCCTCGGTGGGGCTCCCTATGCGGCCAGGAAACGTGTGAGGGATGTGCCAGCATGGACACGTTGGTGCCATGCAACCGCAGCCAGTGGGGCCCTCAGTGGAGATCCCTACGGAGCCACGAAATATGCGAGGGGAGTGCCAGAATGGACGCGGCGGTGCCATGCGAGCGCAGCCAATGGGGCCGTCGGTGGACTCGGTGAAGGGGCCACGAAACGTGTGAGGGGTGTGCCGCACGAGGCGCGGTGGCGCCATGCGAGCGCAGCCACTGGGGCCATCGGTGGAGTTCCCTACGGGGCCACGAAACGAGTGAGGGGTGTGTCGCGACGGGTGCGGTGGTGCCATGTGAGCGCAGCCACTGTAGCCTTCGGTGGAGCTCCCTATGGGATCACGAAACGTGTGAGGGGTGTGCTGAATGAGCGCGGTGCTGCCAGGCGAGCGCAACCCTTATGGCCTTCGGTGGAGCTCCCTCCTATGGTGCCACGAAACGTGTGAGGGGTGTGCTGAAATCGGCGCGGTGGTACCATGCGAGCGAGGCCCCTATGGCCTTCGGTGGAGCTCCCTCCGATGGTGCCACGAAACGTGTGAGGGGTGTGCCGAAATGGGCGCGGTGGTCCCATGCGATTGCAGCCAGTGGGGCCATCGGTGGAGCTCCCTACGGGGCCACGAAGCGTGTGAGAGGTGTGCCGAAATGGGCGCGGTGGTCCCATGCGAGCGCAGCCACTGGGGCCCTCGGTGGAGTTCCCTATGGACCATGAAACATGTGAGGAATGTGACAGAAATGGGCGCGGTGGTGCCATGCTAGCACAGCCACTGCGGCCTTCGGTGGAGCTCCCTATGTGGCCACGAAACGTGTGAGAGGTGTGCTGATTTGGGCGCGGTGGTGGCGAGCGCAGCCATTTCGGCCTTCAGAAGGGCTCCCTATGGGGCCACGAAACATGTGATGGGCGTGCCGAAATTGGCATGCGGAGGGCAGAGGCAAGGGAGGAGGCGGGAGGGGAACGCGGGGCGCTGTCTGTTTAAAACGAGGACCCAACACCACAAAATGGTTGGGAAAAACACTGAAGGCATTCACCGAGGGCTCCGTCCGGGCTGCCCCACAACGACCAGCGCATACATGACCCAGGTCCCAGGTGCCCCCCGCCCCCCGACCATGCTGATGGTATTGGCCCCCCCCCCGATGGGCCTGCTGCCCCCTCCCGCCCCCCCTGTGGGTGTGGTGTGGCCTGTGGCCTGTGAGTGTTGGGTGGTGGTGGAGTGTGGGTGTGTGAACTGGGGGCGAGGGGAGAGAAGGGAGGGGGGAGAGGGAGGGACCACGACGGCGACGACGACGGCGGCGACGACGACGACGACTACACGACGACGACGACGACGACGACGGCGACGACTACGGCGGCGACGACGACGACGACGGCGACGACGACGACGGCGGCGACGTCGTCCCCCCCCATCCCATCTGGAGGGGGATGGGGTGGGGGCCCGCCGAGTCCTGGGACCCATCCATCTTGGGGGGGGGTGGCCGCCGGACCAGGTGCCAGGATCATATATCGAGGTAAAGCCGCGAGGCGGCCGGGCCGGGACTGGCTGCGCGCAGCAGATGTCGGATCCCCTTTTTGTTCAAGGGCACAACTGCTGTCCCTCGACTCGCGCTGGAACGTCCACGACCTTCTCAAAACTTATCTGGGCATATCTGGAACTGACCGCGATTTATCTGGATTGACATCGATTTGCGCAAGACGTGCCTCGACATACCTGGCCTGATCCCAGCAAATCTAGTGGAGAAGAACCGTCAAGCCCTCGGGGGCCCTTCCCGAAACGACTGACTCCGCCCCCCTGAGAGGCAACGATAGGAGGGGGCCTGCTCAGGGAGGGGAAACATCGACCTGGAGTCGGCGATGCATCGCCGATGCATCGGAAGTGGGCCTCCGATGGCAAATCCGCACTTTCCTGGGCGGGGTGGGCTCTATCTGGCCCGTACTGGAGACGAGTGGGCGATTGGAGAGCGATGCACCCCCACCGGTGCCCATGCCCCGGTGGCTTTCGAGTCAGGACCCTGGCCCCTGGCGGCCGCTCGGGACGAACATCCTGGCACCTTCCGGAGCGCCCAAGGTGAGGCGCAGCTGCTGAGAGCCCCGCCGAGGCTGGAGAACCGCCGAGGACCGACGAAAACGCCCGGAAAACCTCGACCCTCGAAACTGCGCCCGCCCCCCCCCCACTTGGGACGCGCAAAGACACACTAGTACTGTATTATGTCCACCTTGGAGGCGCGCGTCCGACCCGACCATGTAGTACACCCGTCTTGTAGTAGATCGTTTCCCGTACGGTGTGGCCAGAAAGCGCCCGCCACGACGCATATATTATGAGAGTTCTATGTGCGCGCGCCGCCCCTGTGGGGGGGGCGGCGCACACATAGTATAAGTATGTTGGGGTGACGCCGACCCCTGGCCCTGATCACCAGGCCAGCGTAGCCCCGCATCCCCCCCCCGCTGGGCGGGCGCCTCTGCCGGATCCTGCTGTGCAGCTCGTCCAGGACGCCTGCCCCCCCAGGAGAGCACAGAATCGAATCGATGAGTCGGATCGGCGATCGAAATGACTAGGATCGGCGGCAGTCGGCAGCCGACTCGGGAGCAGTCGAATCGTCGGACATCGGCAGTATAGCATGCCCCCATGAACGAGTCGGGGTCCAAAACGGGATCCGAGGCCGAATCGGAATCGGAATCGGAGGCCATCGAAATCGCATCGGATCGGAGGAATCGAAGCGAGCCCTGCCACCCCCCCCGCACACCAGCAACCCCCCCCACCCTGCCGCGGGTCGGGGAGGATCCTGGCGCGCCGGGCGCGCCTGTACTCGGACGGTGCTCCGTCCCTCCCTCCAAGAACTCCTCCGCCCCTCGACCTCCTCTGCGCCCTGATCATCCTCCCTCGCTCCCTGACCCTCCTCCTTCCCTCCTCCCTCCCTCCCTCCCTCCTCCTCCCTCCTCGGACCATCCTCCTTCTCCACCTCCTCCTTCTCCTCCTCCTCCTCCTGCTGCTACTCCTCCGCATCCCTCCTCATCCCTCGTCCTCCTCCTCTTTTTATTAGTATGAATATTATTATTAGTAGCATTACGATTATTATGCTTAGTACTATTATTATTACTATTAATATTATTAATAGTATTATTACTAGTATTATTATTATCATTAATATTAGTAATATTGTTATTATTATTAATACTATTAGTTCAATATAATTATCATTATCATCATTAGTATTACTAGTAGTATGATGAGTCTTATTAGTATGATTAGTAGTATTATTATATTAATTTATTCGTAATATTAGTATGATCATTCGCATTATTATTATCACTAGTGTTGTTATGGTTGTCCTTATTATTATTCTTCTTCAACTTCGCCTGCGGTGTCTTCTGTAGTATTATTCTTCTGTGTATTAACAACCTGATTACGCGTATTCGTAGTATGAATATTATTCTTACTATTAACCGTTTTCGTCTTAATTGTATTATCGGTAATCGTAATGCGCTTATTATGTTTCGTAGTTCCCTTCTACGTATTATTATTCTTGTTATTATGATGCGTCTTAGTATTATCATTAGTATGTTCATTAGTCTGGTTTAGATTATTCATATTATTCTTATTAATCGTATTAAAAGTATTGGTAGTATTATTAATGGTCGGGTTCTCGGTATTAGTAGTATTAGTATGAAGCGTCGTATTAGGATTCGTCTTCTTCATATTATTACTGTGGTTCCTATTCTTAGTAGTCTTCTTATGATTCGTCTTCTTCTTCCTCCTCCTCCTCCTCCTCCTCCCCTTCCTCCTCCCCCTCCTCCTCCTTGTCCCCCTCCCCCTCTTCGCCCTCCCCTCCTCGTCCTCGTCCTTCTCCTATTCCTCGTCCTCCTCGTCATCTTCCTTCTCGCCTGCCCCGCCGAATCCTGCCACCTGTTACTCCATCGTCCTCCACCGCCACATTCACCTCCATCAACCTCCCACCCTCCCCTCCCTGCCCACCCTCTTCCTCATCTCTGCCGCTCTCACTATCACTTCCTCAATCCATATTGAGTAGATAACTCCTCCTTGTCGAACCCCGAGTCACGTCTGTAAGGCGGGTCGAGCGTTCGGCATGAGACTTCCTCACCATGTATGATCCTGAAGCTTCGAATGCTTCAAAAGTTCAAGGATGGGGTCGCTTTCAACATGTGGCTCTCGCCTCAGCGCCGCATACACCCACATTAAAAGTTTGAAACAGTATGTATGGCGGGTGGTTTTCAAAATGTGGCTCTCGCCATAGCGCCGCACCTATTCGTCGCCAAAGAATGCAAAATCTTCACGGGTGAAGGGCGAGTGGTTTTCAAAATATGGCTCTCGCCTTTTCGCCGCGCACTTTCGTTCTAAAATGTTGCAAAGAGTTTGACGGATGGAAGGGCGGGTGGTTTTCAAAATGTGACTCTCGTCGTAGCGCCGCGCACATTCGTCTTTACCTTTGCAAGAGTGTCACGGCTGGAGGGCGGGTCGTTTTCAAAATGTGATGCTCGCCATAGCGCTGCGCACATTCGTGCCAAGAATCTACAATAGTTCAACGGCTGAATCTACAATAGTTCAACGTCTTATCATGGCTGACGTCCCAGGAAGGGTGTTCCGACAAGATTTGGGACAGTCAGGGCGCAACAGTCATGTTGATTCGTGGTGTTGATTTCCCAGTAGTGGTGCGCTGGCAAGATGAAGGGTCGCCAGGACGCAAAAGGAAAGCTGATTCGCGGCGATGAGATCCGAGGAGTGGTGTTTTGGCACGATTGAGGAACCTCAGACGGTTGTCTTCCAACGGAGCACTTCCAAGAGTCGAAATGGAATATAGTAGGGACATCTGAAAAAGAAGGGAACTTGGAGGGATCGTGTATTGCAACATCGTTGATGCGTCTTGGGTTTACACAGGTCCTCCTCCTCCTCCTCCTCCTCCTCATGCTCCTTCTACTCCTACTCCTACTCCTACTCCTACTCCGACTCCGACTCCGACTCCGACTCCGACTGCGACTCCGACTCCGACTCCGACTCCTCCTCCTCCTCCTCCTCCCTCCTCCTCCTCGACGTGGCCATTCCTCGAAGTGGCCCCTCCTCGAAGGGGAAGGGGCCTTGAGAGGGGGAGCGCGCGGCTGCCCTGCCCAAGCCCCTGGCGGCCCTGCGTCTCGGCGAACTTCTCGAGCACCTTTTCTGGACGGCGGAGCAGGAGCTGGGGAGAAAGGCGCGAAGGGGGAGACGCAGGGAGGCGGAGGCGGAGGAAGGGAGGGACGGACGGAGAGGGAGAGGAAGGGAGGGGGGACCTGGAAGGAGGGAGGGAGGGAGATGGAGGAGGGAGGGAGGGAGGGAGGGACGGAGGACCCATTGCCCCGCGACGAAGGGCCCTCCGCCGTCACCGGCGACGGAGACGACGACGACGACGACGCCGACGACGACGACGACGATGACGACGAGGAGGGCGGCGGCACGACGACGACGACGACGACGACGACGACGACGACGACGACGACGACGACGACGACGACGACGACGACGGCGGCGGCGGCGGCGGCGGCGGCGGCGGCGGCAGCGGCGGCAGGAACTTGGCCGAGCTCGAGAGAGGAAAGGCGCTGATGTCCGCGGGAGTCCGGCGGCCTCGGGAGGCCTGGGGGGCAAAAATCACAGGAACGGCACACCGCCGCTGTGACTTCAGCATTGGGCTCGACCGGGACGGCGTTTTCCGTGCTCGCTGTGTTCTCGTTTTCCCTCGTGCTGTCTTCGTCCCGCCCTGACTGCAAAACGGAATCAAAGCGAAAACGGTTCATACAATCGCTGGGACGCCACTGCTGAAGAACACGAGGTGTTCCGATAAAACCAGCAACACGCTTACGTGTTACCAACGACAGCGTGAAACTGACCCGGTGAGGAACTTTTGCTAAGCGCGTCGCGGCGGCGGCCCCGGACAACACACAATACTCTGCGAGCGGATAGCGTGTCGCCCCACTCCGCGGGGAGGGAGGCGGGGAAAGCGGAGAGGGAGGCGGGAAAAGGCTAGCGGCGTTGACGCCTGGGCACCGGGGAGTGATTAGCCTGTCGCTTCGAAACGTGGTGGGCCAGAACCCGCGGAACGACACGCTGAGCAAAAGTTCCCGACCGTACTTTCTCCTCCGCATAATCCGCCCGTTGCACGGACTTGACCAACAGAGCTGGGGCGTCAAGCCTCCTCCTCCTCATCCTCGAACTCCACCTCCTCTAACTCCCCCTCCTCATCCCCCTCCTTGATCGAGCAAGCGGACCCGCATGCTGTGCCACATGCCCCAAGCCCCCGAAAAGTCCAGCTCCTCCGACGCCACCAGCGAAGGAAACAACGATGGCGACGACAACGACGACGACGACAACGACGACGACGACGACGACAACGACGACGGCGGAGGCGGCGGCGGCGACGGCGTCGACGCCGACACCGACGCCGACGCCGACGCCGACGACGGCAGCGGCGGCGACGACGACGACGATGAGGGCAACGACGACGACGACGACGACGACGACGACGACGACGACGGCGACGACGACGGCGTCGACGCTGACACCGACGCCGACGACGACGACGACGACGACGAAGACGACGGGGACGACGACGACGACGACGGCGACGACGACGTCGACGCCAACGACGACGATGATGACGACGGCGACGGCGACGGCGACGACGACGACGACGGTGGCGGCGGCGGCGACGGCGGCGACATGACGACTGCAGCGGCGGCGGCAACGACGACGATGACGACGAAAACGACAACGACGACGACGACGACGACGACGACGACGACGACGACGACAATGGCGATAACGACGACGACGACGACGACGGCGGTGGCGGCGGCGGCGGCGGCGACGACGAGGACATCATCGACGACGACGACGACGCTGACGTTGACGTTGACGACGACGACGACGACGACGACGACGACGAGCGCAGGCGACGACGACGACGACGACGGCGGCGGCGGCGGCGGCATCGGCGGCGGCGGCGACGACGGCGGCGACGACGACGACGACGACGACGACGACGGCAACGAGCGCGCCCCGAGGCCGAGCGACGGCGAGCGGCGAACGAGCGGCGACAGGCCGAGGCCCGGCGCCCGCCGGCCGCCACCTGCTCGTCGTCGTTGAGCTTGGCCTGGGTGGCGACAACGCGGGTTCTCCGTCCTGCCTCGTCCGCCCTGCCTCCCTGCATCCACCTCGTCCGTCTCCGTCCTCGTCCTCTCGCCGCCGTCCTCGTCCTCCTCGCCCTCGTCGTCCACGTCTCTCCTCCTCTTCGTCGTTCTCCTCCGCCTCCTCCTCCTGCTGCTCCTCCTCCTCCTTCCTGATCCTCCTCCTCCTCCTCTTCCTCCTCGTCCTTGTCTCCCGCCTCATCGTTTTCCTTATCATCCTCCTGGTCCTCTTCCACTTCCTCCTCCTCCTCGTCCTTCTTCTCCCCACTCCTCCTCCTCCTCCTCCTCCTCCTCCTCCTCCTCCTCCTCCCCCTCCGCCTCCTGTCTCCCTTTTCCTAATCCTCCTGCTCTTCAAATATTATGACTGGTAGTACTAATCTCAATCAGAATAGTAGCATCACGATCCTTACTATTACGCTGTTTCTTCTTGGTCTGATGAAGCTAAGCATTCGCATGTGTACTCGTAGTGTGAACTTATTTTCGTAAGAGTATGATGATGCTTATCATGTGTAGTAGAATTGAGATGCGCACTCATAGAAATGATACTGTGCATAAGCACCGTTATTCCAAAAAACCTAGGTGATATTATTACTATGACTAGTGACTGGTATGAGTCGTCCTATTTCTTGGCTGATGATTGCGAGTCCTGGAATTACTCTTCTTATTATTAGCATGATTCGTCTGCTCCGTAGCATGAACCTGCGTACCCGTATTAGTATTACTATTAGTCGTACTAAGATTGATGTAGTGTTTCACGATCCTTACTAGCACACGGCTTCTTATTGGTCTGGTGTAGCTAAGTATTCGTCGTATTATTCGTAGTGTATGGATTACTTTCTTTCGTAGTAGTGGCATGATGCTTATGGTACAAGCAATATTCATGGTTGTAGTAGTACTGGTATGTCCACTCATAAGCATGATAGGGTTTACGAGCATCTTTTTACTAATTATGGGTCGTCTGCTGTGTTGTCTGGTATTGGTATGAGTCGTCTGTTATGTTGTCTGACTACTGCTCTTCCTGACATTACCTCTTCTTGTTCGGATTAGCATGGTTCGTCGTTTTCCTATTATGACCCTGTTTATTGTATTCGTAGTTTTCTTACGATTCGTAGTAGCAGTATTCGTAGTAGCGCACATGATAAGTAGTATTACCAGTAGTATAAGGCGCGGTCTTATCATTTCTCATGTTAACATTACTATGCGTGTTCTGCATATTGTTTTGTGGTTATGATATTCATATGCGTACGTAATATTATTATGAGTAGTAGCAGTTTTATTCGCAATGTTCATGTGACCGTCCATTCTTACGATATTCCCCGTAGTAAAATCAGCGTTCGGCCTCTTGTGGCTATTTGTAGTTGTCGCACTGGACTTAGCAATACTACTCGTATTCTTGATAACCGTGCTATGCGTAAGTGCAGTCATGGTCGTATTATGAGTAGGTGTCGTACTATTACTAATGCATTATTTGGTTAGTGATGTTAGTAGCCTGATTTTACTCGTACGAATACTCGTGTATTGCTTCGAATTATTATTACTAGCACTACTATTCATCCTGATCCTCCTCCGCCTATTCCTCCTCCTCATCCACCTCCTTCTCCTCCTCCTCCTCCTCCTCCTCCTCCTCCTCCCCCTCCTCCCCCTCCTCCTCCTCATCCTCGTCCGTTTTCTTATCCACCTCGTCCTCCTCCTCATCATCATCTTGTGTTTCCTCCTTCTCCTCATCTTCCTCCTCCTCCTCTTCCTCCTTCCTCCCTCCTCTTCCTCCGCCTCTTCCTCCTCCTTCTCCTCTTCCTCCTCCTCCTCATCCTCCTCCTTATCTTTCTCCTCCTCCTCCTCCTCCTCCTCCTCCTCCTCCTCCTCCTCCTCCTCCTCCTCCTCCTCCTCCCCCTCCTTTCCCTCCCCCTCCGCGGCCCCGACGACGGCCACGGCGGCGGCGGCGGCGACGACGACGACCATGGCGGCGGCGGCGGCCCCAACGACGACCACGGCGGCAGCGGCCCCGACAACGGCCACAGCGGCGGCGATTCCGACGACGGCCACGGCGGCGGCGGCCCCGACGATGGCCACGGCGGCAGCGACCCCGGCGACGGCCACGGCGGCGGCGGTTCCGGCGACGATGGCCCCAACGACGGCACGGCAACGGCGGCGGCGGCGGCGGCCACGACGACGGCCACGGCGGCGGCGGTTCCGACGACGGCCACGGCGGCGGCGGTTCCGACGGCGGCCACGGCGGCGGCGGCCCCGACGACGGCCAAGGCGGCGGCGGCGTGGGGGCGCCCCACCAGGAGGGGGCCCCGACAGGAGGGGGCGCGGATGCTTCGCCCGCGCCGTCGCCCCACGAGGAGGGGGCCGCAGGGCCTCTGCGACCAGGAGCGCCTCCTCCCTCTCGAGCTCGGCAAGTTTCCTGTCGAAGCCGCCGCCGTGGCCGGCGTCATCGTCGTGGTCATCGTCGTCGTCGGAAGGAGGAGGAGCGGGACGTGGAGGAGGAGGAGGAGGAGGAGGAGGAGAAAAAGGAGGAGGAGGAGGAAAAGGATGAATAAGAAGAAGCAACAATAAGAGCAGAGGCAACAACAACGATAACAACAGCAGCAATACCAACAACAACAATAGCAACAATCACAACAACAAAAACAACAACAACACCAACAACAACAACAACAACAGCAACAACAACCAACAACAACAACAACAACAACAGCAGCAGCAGCAACAACAACAACAACAACAACAACAACAACAACAACAACAACAACAACAACAACAACAATTACTAGCACGTGGGGACACTCCGTTCTCACCAGTGCCAGGGTTTTCATAGGAGGCGGGCAATACCCCCACTTTGTGGGGGGGCCGGTTCAAGCTCTACCAAATTTCCAAACGACTCTTCGCCACCACCCACACCCAGCTTCCCGCCCTATGACGTTCGGACACTTCACTTCGTGGCATGCGGACGACCGTGGCTACTATTCAGGGCCCCGCGGCCGACGACGACGGCGTGCGCGCGCGAAGAAAAAACGAATGTGTCCCGCATGGTATTATTTGACAGGGATGATGGCCCTGGCAGGTGCGCAACCGTTGTCGCAGAAGTTCGAAAAAGTTGCTCGCAAAAGCCCGTTTGACAGAAATGTTTAAAAAGTGTTGGGTTTCCTACGAATCCGCAAGAGCGCGCGGGATGAGATTTTGACAATTTTTTGTTGAAAAACCATTGGTTTTTTGATGTTTTTATGTTAAAATCGCTGCGAACACTAAGGTTTTGGAAGGATTTCGTCTTGCGCGCGCGAATGTCCACTTTACCTTATTTTTTGCAAGGGATTCTTGAAATTTGATTATATTAGAACAAGAAATGTCATTTTCTATTGTTTTTTGCAAGGGAAAGCGGATTACAACAAAACAACCGGATCCTGTACACACCCTCTTTTCTGAGGCTTCCTCACGAAAATGATGAAAATGTAGCTGCGGCCTAGGCGGCGCAGGGGGGGCGCGCACCAGGGGGCCCAACAATAATTATTCTTTAGAATAAATAATGTTAAACAAAAAAAACAAAAACAACAACAACAACAACAACAACAACAACAACAACAACAACTACAATACCAGCAACAGCAACTCCAACATCAGCAACCACAACAACAACAACAACAACAACAACAACAACCATTTTAAGGCTGTACGCTCTTACTTGCCCGCGAGTCATTCAACACGTATACCCTACACCCTCGAAACCCGCCCTCTTCGTCTTCGATCACACCCCTTTCGGGGGGATTATTTCTCTTTGCTGGGGCCGGCGGGCTTAGACGTACGGGCAAACCGGAACGGGCGGACAATCCTTCGGGGGCGTACATCTCTCTGCCCGCCATTGGAATTGGCGCGGGCCCTGCAAGAGGAGGAGGGGAAGAACGAGGGAGAGTGGGAGGAAGGGGAGGGGGAAGGACGAAGGAAGAGGGAAGATACCACGTTGTGAAGGCGTCCTTGGCGCGTGCGTGGTTCCTGAGCGCCGAAACGCAATTCCAGAATAATTTGTGAGGACGTCGCACGCGAGAGCGCAGTCCTGAGTACATTGTGAGGAAATCTCGGGCGGGAGCGGGGGCCCTGACTAAGTTGCGAGGAAGTCTCAAGCGGGAGCGCCGTTCCTGAGCAAATTGCACGGAAGTCTCAGGCGGGAGCGGGGGTCCTCACTAAATTGCGAGGAAGTCTCAAGGCGGGAGCGCCGTTCCTGAGTCAATTGCGCGGAAATGTCAGGCAGGAGCGGGGGTCCTGAGTAAAATTCGAAGAAGTCTCAGGCGGGAGCGCCGTTCCCACGTAAATTGCACGGAAGTCTCAGGCGGGAGCGGGGGTCTTGATTACATTGCGAGGAAGTCTCAGACGGGAGCGCCTTTCCTGAGTAAATTGCGCGGAAGTCTCAGGCGGGAGCGGGGGTCCTGAGTAAAAATCGAGGAAGTCTCAGGCGGGAGCCGTTGTTGTTGTAGCCCGGGGGGCAGGGGCACAGTTTGAGCAGGAAGACTTTCCTTGAGAAAAAACAAGGTGCGAGCCCCAGGGGTGGCACTTCAATCGAAAAAAATCAATGTGCACCGGTGGGGGGGATCAACAATAATTATTCTTCAAGAATGAGAGTTCAACAACAACAACAACAACAGCAACAACAGCAACAGCAACAACAACAACTACAACAGCAGCAACAGTAACTCCAACATCAGCATCAGCAATCAGCACCAAACATCAGGGGCAAGAGCAACAACTGCAGTAACAACAATAAACACAACAACAGCAACAGCAGCAACAACCGCAACAACAACAACTACAACGACAGCACAAGCAACGACAACAACAACAACAACAACAACAACAACAACAACAACAACAACAACAACAACAACGACGACGACGACGACGACGATGACGACGATGACAGCAACAACAACAGCAACAAAAACAATAACCATAACAACCGCAGCAGCAGCAACAACAACAATGACGACGACGACGACGACAACAACAACCACAACAGTAACAACTACCACTACTGTAGAAACAACAAGAACAACAGCACCACTACCACCAACAACAACCATACCAACACGAACACAAATAACAGCAACAACAACGACAGCAACAACAGCAAATGCAACACCTACAGCAGTAACAACAACAACAACAACAACAACAACAACAACAACAACAATTACTAGCACGTGGGGACACACCGTTCTCACCAGTGCCAGGGTTTTCATAGGAGGCGGGCAATACCCCCACTTTGTGGGGGGGCCGGTTCAAGCTCTACCAAATTTCCAAACGACTCTTCGCCACCACCCACACCCAGCTTCCCGCCCTATGACGTTCGGACACTTCACTTCGTGGCATGCGGACGACCGTGGCTACTATTCAGGGCCCCGCGGCCGACGACGACGGCGTGCGCGCGCGAAGAAAAAACGAATGTGTCCCGCATGGTATTATTTGACAGGGATGATGGCCCTGGCAGGTGCGCAACCGTTGTTGCAGAAGTTCGAAAAAGTTGCTCGCAAAAGCCCGTTTGACAGAAATGATTAAAAAGTGTTGGGTTTCCTACGAATCCGCAAGAGCGCGCGGGATGAAATTTTGACATTTTTTGTTTGAAAAACCATTGGTTTTTTGATGTTTTTATGTTAAAATCGCTACGAAAACTAAGGTTTTGGAAGGATTTCGTCTTGCGCGCGCGAATGTCCACTTTACCTTATTTTTTGCAAGGGATTCTTGAAGTTTGGTTATGTTAGAACAAGAAATGTCCACTTTAGCTTATTTTTTGCAAGGGAAAACCGATCGTAACAACACAACCGGATCTGGATGACATCGTTTTACCTGAGACTTCCTCACGAAAATGATGAAAATGAGGCTGCGGCCTAGGCGCGGCGGGGGGGCCGTGCACCAGGGGCCCCAACAATAATTATTCTTTAGAAGTAATAATGTTCAACAACAACAACAACAACAACAACAACAACAACAACAACAACAACAACAACAACAACAACAACAACAACAATCACTTTACCCGAACGCTCAGTGTTCTCACCAGTGCCAGGGTTTTCATGCGACGCCAGCCAATACCCCCACTTTGTGGGGGGGCAGTGCAAGCTCTACCAAATATCCACACGACTCTTCGCCACCACCCACACCCAGCTTCCCGCCCTATGACGTTCGGACACTTCACTTCGTGGCCTGCGGACGACCGTGGCTACTACACTGGCGTGGAGTACACACCCACAGAAGTTGTTAAGCCTACGTTCGTACACCCACAGAAGTTGTTAAGCCTTGTTAACCCACAGAAGTTGTTAAGCCTTCCACAGAACATCTGTTGCATATGATGCATATGGTACATGATACACATGATACACATGATATATGATGCCGAGGGCGCAACCTATGGCGCAACCGCAAGGGATTGTGGCCCCTGGCAGGCGCGCGAACCCCGTTGCAAGAGCGTGCGAAAGTAGCTCGCGCGAGCTCATGTAACATAAATGTTGGAAAACCATTGGTTTTTTTAGGATTCGGACAGCGCGCGCGGGTAGAAATTTTGAAAAGTCGTGCAGGTGTTTTTCGAGGACCTACGGTGCGATTCGTGTGATTTTATGATGCGCGGTGCTAAAATTCTTAAGAAGCCCAATGGTTTTTGGAGATTTCGGCGTGCGCGCGCGAAGAAAAAACGAATGTGTCCCGCATGGTATTATTTGACAGGGATGATGGCCCTGGCAGGTGCGCAACCGTTGTCGCAGAAGTTCGAAAAAGTTGCTCGCAAAAGCCCGTTTGACAGAAATGTTTAAAAAGTGTTGGGTTTCCTACGAATCCGCAAGAGCGCGCGGGATGAGATTTTGACAATTTTTTTGTTGAAAAACCATTGGTTTTTTGATGTTTTTATGTTAAAATCGCTGCGAACACTAAGGTTTTGGAAGGATTTCGTCTTGCGCGCGCGAATGTCCACTTTACCTTATTTTTTGCAAGGGATTCTTGAAATTTGATTATATTAGAACAAGAAATGTCATTTTCTATTGTTTTTTGCAAGGGAAAGCGGATTACAACAAAACAACCGGATCCTGTACACACCCTCTTTTCTGAGGCTTCCTCACGAAAATGATGAAAATGTAGCTGCGGCCTAGGCGGCGCAGGGGGGGCGCGCACCAGGGGGCCCAACAATAATTATTCTTTAGAATAAATAATGTTCAACAACAACAACAACAACAACAACAACAACAACAACAACAACAACATTAACAACAGCAACAACAACAACAACAACAACAATCACTTTACCCGAACGCTCAGTGTTCTCACCAGTGCCAGGGTTTTCATGCGACGCCAGCCAATACCCCCACTTTGTGGGGGGGCAGTGCAAGCTCTACCAAATATCCACACGACTCTTCGCCACCACCCACACCCAGCTTCCCGCCCTATGACGTTCGGACACTTCACTTCGTGGCCTGCGGACGACCGTGGCTACTACACTGGCGTGGAGTACACACCCACAGAAGTTGTTAAGCCTACGTTCGTACACCCACAGAAGTTGTTAAGCCTTGTTAACCCACAGAAGTTGTTAAGCCTTCCACAGAACATCTGTTGCATATGATGCATATGGTACATGATACACATGATACACATGATACGTACTCACAAGATAGTTGATCACATCTTTAGGGCAAATTCCTGAGGGATGTGGGAATACACAAGAGAGAGAGGATATGGTTGTCCCGATGGTTGTCTCGATGGTTGTCCCGATGGTTGTCCTGATGGTTGTGGTTGTCCCGATCGTTGTCCCGATGATTGTCCCGATGGTTGTCCTGATGGTTGTGCTTGTCCCGATCGTTGTCCCGATGACTGTCCCGATTGTCCCGATCCTGTGTCCCGCATGGTATTATTTGACAGGGATGATGGCCCTGGCAGGTGCGCAACCGTTGTCGCAGAAGTTCGAAAAAGTTGCTCGCAAAAGCCCGTTTGACAGAAATGTTTAAAAAGTGTTGGGTTTCCTACGAATCCGCAAGAGCGCGCGGGATGAGATTTTGACAGTTTTTTGTTGAAAAACCATTGGTTTTTTGATGTTTTTATGTTAAAATCGCTGCGAACACTAAGGTTTTGGAAGGATTTCGTCTTGCGCGCGCGAATGTCCACTTTACCTTATTTTGTGCAAGGGATTCTTGAAATTTGATTATATTAGAACAAGAAATGTCATTTTCTATTGTTTTTTGCAAGGGAAAGCGGATTACAACAAAACAACCGGATCCTGTACACACCCTCTTTTCTGAGGCTTCCTCACGAAAATGATGAAAATGTAGCTGCGGCCTAGGCGGCGCAGGGGGGGCGCGCACCAGGGGGCCCAACAATAATTATTCTTTAGAATAAATAATGTTCAACAACAACAACAACAAAAACAACGACAACAACGACAACAACAACAACCATACTGATGAAGAGGGGAAGAGGAGTAGGGGAAGAGGGGAACTCTTCGATTTACCCCGAGGCTGTGAAAAGGGTTTGGGCAGGAAGAGAGAAGAACGGAAAAGGGGGCGGGAGGGGAGGAAAGGGAGGTTTTGGAAGCACGACCGAAGGTTTAGAGAGGGGGGGGAGGAGGTTGCGCGGTGCTCTTGGAGCGCTCTGGAAGGTCGAACAGGGTCGGGAAGGCTCTGGGCGGGATCCTGAAAGTGGCTGGAGGCTGGCAAAAGTTGTTTGCGTTTTTTTGTTGATGGGGACGGGCCTCAAGCCATCGGACGTGGCCAAACGAAATCGGACGCGTCTGAGTCCGAGCTTTCTTCGAGAGGAACGGACTGACGCGTCGAAGCCTCGTCTTGGGCCCTGACCCAGGCAGGATCGGCCTCCTCGATGGCAGAAGGACCCGAAAGAAAATGGTGTACGACTGCTCCTCCGCGCACGCGTGCACGGCGCCGACTGTCGGCTCGAGGAGCAAAAGAGAGCGAAAGGGTGAAACACCAGCGCTGGCAGTATTGTTCCCAACCCTCCCCCGGTGGATGTTCGTCTCCAGCCTCCCGCCCCCCCCTCTACCCCCCACTGCCTTGGATACTGCATTACCCGGATGCTCTAAAAAAATGTGCCTCACGTCTCCTTGCACCGCGCGCGTGGAATGTGTCGATGGGGAGTGTGCAAAGAACGCCTAATTGGGTAGATGTATCTGCACGGAGCACTAACAAGGCGAACCCAACAGTTCGCAGATATGTACGAAGTGTGGCATTTACCGGCACGCATTTGAAAACAGGCACAGCTCATGTTTTATATACGTCCGTATGTATAAGGGCGCCGATGCCTGGAACCAGCATCATGAACGCTCATGCAATCGCCGAAGCTGCCGTCTCTCAACTATCAGCGGGCCATGTTCTGCGAGGGCAATTCGTGCATAGCCTCTGCTGGCATTCCAGCGCATTATTAGCCGAGAAAGAACGTGCTCATCGCGAGATACCAAATGCTGGCGCCATTCGATTATACCTCTCAGGAAGAGCAGCGCCTTCCGTCCATGAAGACTGTGTAGGTCGCGATGGAACTGTCGCCCGCGATCTCCCCGACGACAAACCCTTGCTGCCGATCCGCGTCGCAGCTTTCGTCGCCGCCCTCGCCGACGACCCAGTACTTGTTCGGCTCGATGGAGACGGCGCCGGCGTCGTCGACGCCGCGGCGGTGGCCGCCGAAATATGTGATGTCGCGCCTGGAGTTGTCCGACAAAGCCCCGAGGAAGTCGGGGGGACCGACGAAGTATCCATCGGGCAGTGGGAGAAGACCACGAGCGACTTGGCCGTGCACCCCCCTGCGCGGATGAAGAAGAGGCCCAGTGCCCCCGGGGTGCGATTCCCGATGACGCGGACGCACTTGGCGACGCAGCCGCTCCGCGCGCACTCCCCGAAGGCCAGATCCCCTGGCCCTCTCCCAGGGGTCCAGGCCCACGATCTCGATCGCCATGTCTGGAAAGGCCCTGAAGTTGCTGGTGCCAGGCATCTGAAAGTACTCCAGGTTCTGCTCGTCGTAGTTCACCTGCGCGCACTTCGCCTCCACGTCGACGCACGCGCATGGGCCCGAGCGGCAGTCGCGGTCCCCGTATACGCTGTGCCAGGGAACGCTGCGGAGCCGCTCGCTGTGGATCCAGCGCCACGCCTTGCCCCTTTTCTCGTCGCCCCTGCCGAGGACGCCGTTGTCTTGGAAGGAGTCGCCGACGTTCACCACGAACTTCACCCACCCACCCCCAGCTCGCTCATCTTGACGCCCATCGCCCTCGCGACGCCAAGCCTGCATCTCATCGAGCTGACGCGCGCGCCCCCGCCAACTCCCAGGCCACCGACATCCAGGAAAGACCCCCGCCTCACGGGAAGCGTCTCCGCCAGGCCTGGCGCCCTGGGCCCCAGGGCGCGGCAAAACCAACTCTCGTCCGCACGGTCCTCCGGCAGGGGCCCAGACGCGCAGTCCGGCTTGCAGGAACTCCAGCCCTGGTTCTTGGAATAGCACTGGTGGCCATCCTGACTGCCACACTTTGTCAAGCTGCAATTTTCGCCACTGACCGAGCACTGCGCCCAGGCCCATGCTGGCACCACCAGGCTCGCGGCACTCGGCTCCAAGACAATCCCGGGCGCGCGTGGCCCGATCTCTTCGCAGCTCCAACTCACCCCGTCGACGTCGGTCAAGTCTGGGCCTGGCATGCAGGAGGACTTGCACTGGGCCAGTGACTTGTCCTTTAGAGTAGCACTGCATGCCCTCCTCGCTGCAGCACCTGGCGTTCTGGCAGTTGCCCTTACTCGAGGAGCAGTACTGTTTCGCCCAACTTTGCACAGGCATGCCCGCCCAGTTCACCTTCGTCGCCCGGCCAGGCGCCCGCTGCCCAAGCTCCAGACAGGACCAGATCGATCGTTCGAGATAGGCGGACACGTCTGGGCCAGCACGACACTCTACCCTGCACGCCGCCTCCCCGGCGCTCTTCTCGCAACACTGCTCGCCTGCCCCGACGCGGCAGCTCGTGGCAGCTTTCCCCCGAGATCGCGCAAGGCGGCGGCGGAACTGGCGCGGATGCTGCAGCAGGCTGGAGCTGGAGCTCGGGCGGGAGCCGGAGTGGTAGGCGGCGGCGGGACTGGGGCGGGGGCTGGAATGGCGGCCCTCTCAGTCGTTACTGCCGCCATGTCTGGCATCACTGCGATCCCGTTTAAGCCCTCGCCAACCATCGCATCCACACCTGGCATCGCCGGAGTAGAAACCTTCCCGACCGTAACTGCCGCCGCGTCTGGAGTCGTTGCGACCCCGTTGGAATCCGCGCAAGCCGCTGCTGCCGCGCCTACCATCGCCGCGCCACTGCCGCCACTGCCGCCCTGGACATCGGGGTCCACCGACTCGCCTGCGGCAGCGCTGCGCCCCGTTGGCGCGACAATCCTGTCCGGCATTGCCGCGTCAGGCCGCGCCGCCGCCACGTTGGCGATGGCCGCGCCCTATCGGTTCCTCAAGGGTGCGCCCCCCGATCTGTCGGCGCGCTTGAGCTCTGCCGGCGCTGCTGCGCGTCTATAGATCACCAGGGCGCCAAGCAAAACCACGACTGCGCCCCCAACCAGCACCAGCGACGCAGCGTACTTTTTGCCCTCGGGGTGCGATTAGCAGGTCGCCTCAGGCCCTGCACGGTGCACGGCTGGTCTGTCGCTGATGCGCCGGCTTCTGCTGCGCCCATCCTCGACAGAAGCGTCATAGGTAGATGCCGTCTCGATCGTTAGTCAGAGCCCCAGAGCAGCCCTTGAGCAGCTGGTCCGTCCCATCGTCAAAAGGACCATACCAAGCCATGCGGCCACGCCCGCTGCGCGGGGGGGGGAGCGGGGGAGCGCGCGGGGGGGGGCGCGGGGGGGCGCGCGGGGTGGGCGCGCGGGGGGGCGCGCGGGGGGCTGCGCGGAGCGGGGAGCTGCCCTGGGGGGCTGCGCGGGGAGCTGCGCGCGAGGCTGCTGCGCTGGCCGCGCGGGCTGCGCTGCGGCGTGCCCCGAGACTTCGCGCCGCGGGGCTGGCGCGGCGAGGGCTCGTGGCACCCGCCGCCGGGCCCCTGCCGGCACGGCCCGAGCCGCCCCTCGGGCTCCACATCCTGGCGCGCTCACGCGCAGCGAATGCCGGGCCAAGGGGGGGGGCAGCACGAGCCCAGAGGCTTGAGCCAAAATGGCTACGGAAAGTTGTTTGCGGGGGGTTCTGGGAGGGCGCCCAGGCAGCCGATAAGCCGACTGGAGCAGCGACGCCCATCTACAAGGACATCAGGTGACCACCAAAAAAATACACTGGAAGACTGTAGACTGCGGCCGCTTGCAGGCGTGCGAAAAATGTCCCAGGCACGGCGCTCACGGGTTGAGGCACTACCTCTGGTGACCCACTGACGCAGGGTGACCCAGCTCACAGGAACAGAGCCACGTACTTGTCCGACAGCAGACCGCATCCTGCAAGCCAAGGGCACTGCCGAGACCGCGCTGCCAATGGCAAAGGTGGCATGCATCCACGGGGAAGAATGCCCATAGCCCCATATCGGGTGTTACGGGGCTGTGGGGCCCAGGTCGACTAAAGGTGAACGTTTCCTTCTTTCTTTCAGACTTCGGCTCGAGTCCATGGACTGCCTGCGCTATACCTCTCCAGAGACAGATTGGCGGCGATGAGCGCCATGTAAAACCGCTGGAACCACAGGGGGGGGGCCGGAGAGGGCCGGCAGAGGAGGAGGAGGACGACGAGAAGGCGTTCAGAAGAGCTCTCAGACCCGTGTCCAAGGCGACGACCTCGGCCTCGAAGGCGCTCTTGCAGCTTTGGAGGTATGCACCCGCGGTAGCCATTAGGGCGCCGCTCTCGTCATTCATGTCCAGGAGAACGCATGCAGAGGCTCCGATGCCAGACGAGAACCCGCCGTCGCAGCAGAGAATGAGACGCGATGGGTTGCTCTGGACGGCACGAGACCTTGCTCTCGAGGACGTGGTTTGCAATGTGGTCGGCTACATTGTTGTGACGGCGCGGCTGCCACTGCACGACGTTGGCTGTCGTGGTTTGGGGCCCCCAACCCCGCCCTGAGAGAGCAGCCAGGTTGCGGAGAATCCGCACAAAAGCCGGACGGTATGAGTCATCTGTCAGCACCGCGTGTCCGTTGACCAAATCGGCAATTGTTTGGTTACCAACCCGGATCATAATTCGTCGCCCACCGTGGTCCCAATGTTCATCAGTTGGGTGCCGGCACAAAGAGGATACGCTGTCCATCGCGTGGGCAGCGCGTTCTTCTCCAAGCCACTCTGCACCTGGACCAGCGGGATTGGATGATTGGGGGAGATGCCAGGCTGCGCACAAGGTCTCCGCGAATTTCCTGAAGTGCTTCATCCAGTCATTAAGGGCGTCGCAGGTGTGCAGCATACTCCGCCAATGCAGACCGAAAGCGACGCAGAAAGGGGCATCCCAATGGGATCGCACTGCGCCGCGGGATCCGTGCACCAATCCTTCTCGCCGTCGCTGGCTTACAGAACTCATGGAGCGGAGGGTCTGCCATTCGAGCGCGTCGCAGAATCGCCGCGCCATGGAAAGCTGGCTACTGTGTCGAGAATGATCCAAACATGCGGTTTTGATGACAGCTTCCAGGACACGTATGTGCATAGGTTCAACGAAACATGTTTCGAACCATCGGTGCATTTGGGCAGCGGTTCATTGCATGTAGCTCGCCTGCCCTTCTTCTGGTCTCCGCCTCCACTTCAAAATGCGACGTACGTGGTCCAATTCCTACGATCGGACACGGCGTAGCAGCGTTTGGTTCAGATGCCATGTCGAAGAACCAAATGCTGCAGAAGTCGACGGTGCTCGAAGCCATGCTTGAAGCTAATATTTCAGTGGCCTTGGAAACGAAAATGTGGCGATGCTTGTAGAAGGGCCCTGCTGAGGCCGAAAGTCGATGTTCCATGCTCGTGGTTGTCGCGCCGACGCTGTCGACGCAAGTCCCGAGCACTGGCATGCTCCCGACGTTCTCATAGACGAGTCGGCATCCATGTTGATGAACAGCCAGAGGTGGATCAAAGGGCCGGCCTCTGGCCGACAAGCACTGCAAGGAAGATTGTTTCCAGCGTAAGTCATGCGTACCCAGTGCGTCTTTGAACTCTTGTGTCATAGTGCGGATGCCAGACTCCCGTGAAGAGCACAAACATATGTTGTCCGCCCTGACTGCGTGAGTGTACTCCTCCTCCCCCAGGTGGAAGCCGAAGCCCCGAGCACGCCAAGACGGAATGAAAGGCTCCATGCTAAATTCGATGAGAGAATTCCACACATCTGTCGTCTCCACCGCCCCTTGTTTGCCTCCACGGGTGTAAGGGAACATCTTGGTAACTCCAGCGCTCGGGATCTCCAAAACAGCAGATACGACAGTGAGCTCGCGCATGAGAATAGCCACGCTGCCCCCTTGCAGCCCCCGGGCGGCCAAGGCTGTAGGCATGGAGCTGTGCTTCATTGAATGAAAGGCAACGGCTACGTCTTGAGCAGCACAGTGCAGCGACAAGCCCCAGACGTCTGCTAGAAAGAACAATTGTTGGACCAACCCGGAAACATCCTCAGGACGGCATCCTCGCTTGAAGCCGTACGTGCGGACAGCGCAAGGACGTAATTGAGGAAGTAAGGACGGTCGCACTGCCTTGATATACCATCTCTGCAATACAGAAGTTTTACCAATCCAGCGGAAATCACCAAGATCAGTTATGAATCTCTCTTTTGGTATGCCCACGAAGCTCACCACCTTCCAATACAACGAATCGCCAGAGTCAGGAAACCCAACTCGATCACGGAACAATCGCCACACGTGCAAAAGAGCAGTCCAAGGAAGAGACAAATACACGTCTGGAGGGACCCCATCCGGACCAGGTGCGGAGCCTGCACGGAGAGAGGCCCTGGCCTGGGCGTTTCCTTGTTGGGCGTTTCGACATTGGGCGGAGAGGGGGGGAGGGGGGGATCTGGCTCCGGACCTCTGCTTTATGCGACTTTTTGCAGCAGTGCGTCTTATGGAAGAGACTCCACCTGCTCGAAACAGGCGCCAAAGACAGCCAAGATCTACTCCATGGGGCGGGGGGAGGGGGGGGGAGCGGGGGCCCGCGCCGATCGGCAAAACGATGAATAAGTAAACGATCACCTGCTGAATGCGACTGTTTGCAGCAGTGCGTCTTATGGGGGAGACTCCACCAGCTCGAAACAGGCGCCAAAAACGGCCAGGATCTACTCCATGGGGGGGGGTAGGGGGTGCGAGGGCCCGCACCGATCGGTATAACAATGAATAAGAAAACGATCACCAGGGGTCCGCCCGCCTGGTCTGGAGAAGTCCGCACCGCAACCCTTCCCCCCTTGCGTTAGGTCGGGCGTGTCCTCCTGCAGGCGGATTCTGGACGAAGAATTAGGAGCGAAAGGGGGGGATAGCAAAGGGTAGGTTAGAGAATCGGCTCACGTAGCTGACTTTCCCAGCGCATGGCGCCGGGAGGCGCCCATGTATCGTGGAATGGGCCCAGCGGCGGGGCCGAAACCAGCTACATGCAGCAAATTTCGTAACCCCCCCTTTCCCTATCCCTTATCCCCCCATCGTTCGGCCCCGGTGGAGGGCTCAGGGTGGGATCCAGATGGGCTCTTGCACCTTGAAGACTAATCCGTCTTGTGATTCACCTTTTGCAGATTCAGCCTCGAAGATCAACCGAAACGGCATTTCAGATTTCACCCTCTGCCCTCCACCCAAAAGAAAATGCTCGGAAGATGTATGTTGTCCCTGCCGGACTTACGGACCACATCCCAAAATGACTTCGAGCACCCAGACAAGTAGCGAGGCAGTGTGTGCCCGACAGGCCAGCGAAGCGCCGAACGAGTCTCGCCTCCCAGAGCGCGGCGCGTGGGAGCCCTCCAGTTGCGGCACCTGCGCCGTCGCTCGAAATTCGTTCTGGCGATCAGGGCCAAAGCAGACTGGAACCTCGGAGCTCAAGACCAACAAATTCGGGTCCATGCGCCCTCCGTGTGTGCAGACGCTCGACAACGCTCAGGCGGACGTGCGCGGCGCCACGGCGAGATCCGCACTCTGAAAAACAACCGCCCTCCCCCGCGCGAACTTCCAAACGAGCGTGCGGGTTGCTGACGCACTGGTCGAGGGGCAACGACAAAGGGGGGGACTGGCATGGGGCGGGATGCATCGACCTAGAATCGGCGATACCTCGCCGATAGATCGGCGATAGGCCCCGATAGTGAATCCGCACCTTCCTGGGCGGGTTGGGGCTATCAGACCACCATCGGCGATCAATGGGAGATTGCTGGGGGTCGATGCATTCCCCCCTATGCCTATCCACCCCTATCGTTGCCCCTGATTGGTCGCTTCGCCCGAATCCCGCTTCGCTCAGGTCGGGCATGTCCCCCTACAGGCGGGCTTTGGGCGATTTGT